TGGGGCGGGCCGGGGCGGGCTGCGCCGCCTCTGAACGCCAAGTCGGAGCCGCGGCGACGCCAGCAGCGCCACTTCCTCCCGGCGGCCCCCGCGGCGCCTCCGCCCCATTGGCTGCCCGGTTCCACGTGACGAGTAGTGCCGCCGTCTCGACGCGTGCGCGGGGGAGGGCCTCGGGCCCCCACAGCTCCCGCCCCACGGCAGCCGGGTCCTGGAAACGCTAGCTCCCCTCCCCCGGCCTACAGCAACCGCTTCATCCTATCCCCCGGTGAGGAAGGCGGAGGCCGGACAGGATAGGTTTGCCAGAGGCACAGATGGCAGCACGGTCGGAGCAGCCGACACTAGTGCGACACGAGCAAGTGCTGAAGTAGGGAACTGCCACAGAAGCAGGGATTTAGGAAAGGCAGCAATGAAAGAAACGCAAATTAACACACAGGGTACTCACGAGGGAAAAGCTGAGACAATAGATGAGGCAGATAACAGCCCCTTCTGGGGGGAAAAAATGATCTGGATTTATTGAAGCTTGATCACTTTAATGAGAGCTGATCATTCATCACAGGAAAATGCATGTTTAAATCATCTTTGCACAGCACATCTCCAACAAATCTAAATTAGTTTTCAGCAGAAAATACCAATGGGGTTTCAGTACGACTCTCAGTGACTCAAGTTATTAGAAATACTATTGCTCCTTAAAGGGAGCAATACAGTTTCTCTCTAAAATGAGGAAACACAAATCAGGTACCAATGCCTACACTACACAGTATGAACAGCGCACTTCCAAACATAATGCTAATGTGCCCTACTCATAACGTAAGCCTCTCTCCAGATCCAGCAAGCTAATTCATGCATTTTATTTAGAGTTTTAGAACTACAATCTTTGCACGTGAACAGGAAAATATTCTGACAGAATTCCTCTAAAATAATATCCCAGGGCAACATGAGCAATTTTGTACATGCCATCCTGAAAGATTTCATTATGGTGATGTCATATGTAAAATTTTAGTTTTACCAATGGATTTTAAGCAGTGGTTCTCAACCTCTTATTCCAAGACACTTTTAAGCTACTTCCATTTCCTGCAGTTCTCCAAAGGTGGCTAAGCTGCAATCAGTGCAACACGCGACTAGGAGAACTGACAGGATCTTAAGTGTGGACAGACTGAGGACTGCAAACAACCGTTAGTAGCAAAATGATAACTAGGGATCCTGGGTTTCTCTGATTAAAACCCCCATGATCCATCACCCCCTCCCAGCCCCCCCACCCCTGCTGGCCCCCAGCTGCCACGGCTACAGGGTCAGGTCCACAGGTCCCTGCAGCAGGTGGCTGTAATGGAGTGGAGCAGAGCAGAGCCTTGCTTCCCCTCCCCCATGGGTGGCATGAGCAGAGCCCATGGGGGAGTGGGGGGAAAAGAGGGGGAAGTGTATTTCCCTTTCCTCCTCACCCCATGGGCTCTGCTCAGGGCTGCGCCCCATAGACTTGGGCTCCCTGCCCTGCTCCTGGGGCCCAGCAGATGAGACCCAGTGCAACAGGGCAGAGATGTTTGGTGCCACCACTGCAAGCCAAACACCGCCATGGTGAGGCACCTCCTGCCTGCCTGGCAGCAGCAGCAGACCTAGCACGGACATGTGCCTTCCATTGCTACCAGGTGGGCAGAGGGCACCTCATTTGCTATGGCAGTGCTTGGCTTGTGGCAGCAACACCAAGCATCCCCTCCCAGCCCTGCTCTGTCCTGCTGCGTCAGGTCCTGCCCACTGGGCTGCGGAGGCCCTGTGGGGAAGGCAGCAGGGCAGGGAGCCCAAGCTTGCAGGCAGCCCCCATCCACCCCCACCCTGTACACAAATCTGGTTGGCATGCGCCTCCCAGCCCCCCTTCCCCAGGAGTATGCAGTGGCAGGGAGCCAGTCCCCTCCCACCCCCGGATGAGCCGTCCATGGTTCTGTCCCACTCTCTGCCCAGGCCTTGAGGCTGCACATTCCGGCCCTGGCATCACCCAGGCTGGGCAGCAGCCCCAGCCCCAACCTTGCCCAACTGCCTCTCACTATGGGGGCCTCAATCCTCCCAACATTTACCTGTAGGAGCTGCTCTCCAGGCTGCCTGGTGGCCATGTGCGTGTATATGTGTGCACGTGAACATTGCGCCCCCTGCCTAACTGCCCTCCTTCCACTCCCTCCCAGCCCCTTGCAGGCTGGAACTCTGCCAGCCTGCAAGGGGAAACCCACTGTTTCCTGCATTTTTCTTCTTTAAAGGAAGAAATCTGTGTTTTACTGTATTTTCCTGTAGTGAATGGAAAACCCAGATCCCTGATAACTCATACATTGAGCACTACTAGTATAAGCTCTCTCATTGTCTCTTCCTCAGGAGCCGAGATCAGTATCTAAAAACTATATTGTGTAAGCGTCTTCTGTACTATAAGAGGGTGAAGACCGTTGACGTAACAACAGATGCTGGCTACTCCTTACCCTAGAGCTCCTTGCCCTTTAAAGATTTCATAGATTTTTTGGGGTCAGAAGGGACCTCAGTAGATCATAGAGCCTGACATCCTGCCCTGGGCAGGAAAGAGTGCTGGGGTCAGATGACCCCAGCCAGGTCTTTGTCCAGTCTCCTCTTAAAGACCTCCAAGGTAGGGGAAGACCACCACCGCACATGGAAGCCCATTCCAGATTCCGGGAACCCTTATCATGAAGAAGTTCTTCCTGATGTCTAGTCTAAATCTGCTCTCTGTCAGTTTGTGGCCATTGTTTCTAGTTACTCCAAGGGGAGCTCTGGTAAACAGAATACAAACAGAGTATCTGCAAAACCCTTGCTGCACTACCCCACCAACGAATTTGTAGATGGCCACTAGATCACCTCTCAGCCTTCTCTTATGGAGGCTAAAGAGATCCAGGTCCCTCAATCTCTCCTCATAGGACCTTACCTGCATGCCCTTAACCATGTGAATGGCCCTCCTCTGGGCCCTCAAGGTTATCCACATCTCTCTTCAAGTGCGGTGCTCAAAACTGGATGCAGTACTCCAGCTGCAGCCATACCAATACCGCATAGAGGGGAAGTATCACCTCCTTAGACCTGTTTGTGATGCACCTGTTAATGCATGATAGAGTGTGGTTAGCGCTATTGATCACTTTGTCACATTGTTGACTCATATTCATTTTTGAGTCAACTATGACTCGAGATCCCTTTCCTCTGCTGTGCTACTTAGAAGGTCATCTCCCAATCTGTAAGTGTGTTGGCGAACCCTTCTCCCTAGGTGCCATACTTGCACTTATCTTTGTTAAACTGCATCCTATTTTGTTCTGTCCACTTCTCCAGCCTGTCCAAATCCACCTGAATCCATTCCCTACCCTCCATTGTGTTTACTTTGCCCCATAATTTGGTGTCATCTGTGAATTTGGACAGTGTGCTCACTCTCCATGCCCTCGTCCAAGTCACTGATGAAGATACTAAACAGCACTGGTCTAAGGACCGAGCCTTGGATAAAAAAAATGGTCTCCTCCATAAAACCAATATTTCATTAGGTACTTCATGGTTTTGAAGGAAGATCAATAGATATTTCACATTTGATGATCACTATGAAAATACTTCACATTTAAATCAACATTAGCATTATGAAAAATGCAGCAAGTAATTCCAAAATATAGGAAACAAGGGGTTTTTGTTTGTTTTTAACTCCTCCAAGCAGCAGTTGACAGTATTGTGACATTTAGAGACTGGCATCATCTTGGTACTCACCCAGAACCACCTCTCAAGCACTGACCAAGAACAGAGGGTATAGGTTCTTTTCCTGTTTGTTCTGTATGGGAAATATTTATAAATGAAACCAGTTAAATTTGAAATTAAACTATATTGCTTCAAAGCCCCAACAGCAGAGAACTTCAAGGCACTTTAAGTTTTTTTGTATGCTAAAACTGAGCTTCTCAAATAAATGACATACTAACAGGGAAAGCTTATAAAAGAGGGAGCGAACTTCAAAAGAAATCCAAGGTTTAATTAAAAAATAAATAAAATTAAGAACCTATCTTTGAGCACAAGTTTGAGAAACAAGATGCAGGGAACTGAAAAATCAAAATCACAAAAACAGATAACATCCCTAAACACAGAGAGCTATCACTACCTCCACTTTTACTTTTATGTAACCTCTTAAAAGATGCTGTAATGAACATCAATATTCTTTTCATACTCCATTGTGCATAGTAGTTTTTTAGTTTCAGGACTAAAATAATTACACAAACAGGATCTTTTAACCTACTTGGAACTTCCACAGATGAAGATTCTTTTCTTACTAGGAAAAAATAGATAAACATCAGGCTTTATCTTGAATCTGAGTGTATTTTAAGTGCCAAACCCCAGCCCCATGTTTGTCCTATGTTTCAAGTAAGTGGGCACAACTACCAATAGATGGTTATGCATATCATGCTTTTCTCTGATCAGTAGCATAGCATCTGAAACTTACTACAAAGAGAGCTCCCTTCTTGAAGCCAAAGGGAGTTAGAGAACTGCACTCATTTCATTTTGCTAGAAGGCACCACAACTCTTAATGGGATATATTTTGTATTCTATTGCAGCAATCAGACAATACTGTTTAATGAAAACCACTTGAGCAGCTGCAAATAGTTTAGCTGTAGCAGATTTACTATACAGTGAGCATTTGCTTCATTTTAGCCAGTCAGCATTAGTTAAACTCTACCAGATCTGATCTCTACATTTCACAAGCATATAGATTTGAATTTGTGAAACAGGACATTTTAGAGACCCTAGAACAAGAGACTGTGGCAAAGGGCATACATTCCCTTTCTTATAAAGGCCTAATGAGCTGGATTTTGTAAACGTTTAAGAGAAAGTGGGAAGCAAAGGTTCATTTTACAATTTTCTCTTTAATGTTTCCCTGTGACAGGAAGCGCAAATTTTTTTTCTATCTTGTGCTTCTGAAGCAGACAGCTGTAATTTCAAAAATATACAGTGTACACACCCCTCTGTAGGTATAGATACAAAGATTTACAAAGATAAATAGCATATGAATTATTTTCTTTTTGGCCCTCTCAAAAAAAAAAACAAAACAAGAGGTGCTGGTCTCACCAGTCAGACGTGCGTGCTACTCAAGTACCAGACTAAGGAATATAGTGGTATTGTTCATTAAAAAGGAAGTTAAATCAGCATTTAAAAATCCCATATATTCTAGGGGACTCATTTTTTTTCTTTCATCCAATTAACATGGGTTAATAAAGAAACTGCCTTTGTTTAAGATAAGTGCTGCCTACCACTCTGCCTTGCTTTTATTCCTGTAGAAAAACATCTTCTAGATAATCAAACTGCACTAAATTAAAAAGAAGAAAAATATAGTTCCTAAAACATTTGGCTTCCTCTGTAAGGCTTCCCCAGTCAAGGAAAAATGGGTCCATGTTATAGTTTAAGTGAGATTCTTTAGCGAATGGGCCTGTATGGAAATGTCATTCCAGGTATGAACGTCTGTACAGGATGGGCAGGAAGCGCTGGGTGTGCAGGCAATGCAGGGTGTGCTGCATGAGCAGGATAGCCCAATGGAGGAGTGTGGATGTGAGGATAAAATCCTGGTGGCAGAGCCCCATGAGTTGGCTGTTGTACTGGACCTGAGATTACCAGCTGGAGCAGGCTGCAAAAAGAAGATTCAGAGAGATGCAGCTATTACTTCAACCTTGAATTAGCCAAAACAGAAATAGTCTGTCAAGTGATCCCATACATGACAAGGAGAGCCACTGCAAAGCCTTGTTGACACACAGCAACATTTAAAGGAGAGAGGGCAGCAACCATGTTATTAGAGCTTCAGGCAGATTGATATCTTTGGAGCCGAGTAAAGACGGTGCTATTTTTCAGACAAGCACTGTTCACAATAACTAATAGTTAAGTACTTTCAAAATGTTGTTCCATAGCTAGATCATCAAGAGGGAAAGAGTGCCAGTTACCACCTCTTCAAAGCACAGGTGCTCTGTGAAGCTCTACAGGACTTCTCGCTGGCTTCCAAATCCCTATATTAAAATAAAGGCTTTTCCCCTCCCAATTAACAGAGCATCCTGGTTCTAATTAGAACTGATACTTGGAAAACTTGTCTACAAGTATTTATGCATCTAGCTCCCGATTCATTATACTGATTTTTCACAAGAAGTTGAGACTAATAGACTACAGATGGGAGGTGGGTGAGCCACATGTCAGGTTGTATATTTGTGCAAACATATGTATGCTAGTCTAAGACTAGATTGTATATTTGAAGGCATACAGTCATGTAAAACATGCACAAAAACAATATTTATTTATTACCATTTATCACTTGTACATAAACTCCAGCAATTTACATCAACAAATGTTGTAGGATGCATGTGTAAGGTTTTTTTCCATATTTATACAGGTTTTTTTTTTTTTTTTACATCTCGGAGCCTAGAAAGGGAGAGTGATGGATTTCAGCCTCAGGACTTTCCTGCACAAAGATGATGATGCAGT